ACATTATGTAGTACTAGAATTTCGACTAGAATGGAGTACGTCAATCAATTTGCTTGGGACCAATAGGCTAGTCAAGTAGTGTGCCAATTTAAAATCGTTAGTTTCGTATTGATTGTTGGTGACATGATGCCTCGCCAATTGTCGCACACAGTCAGATCCCCATTCTTTGGGACCTTCACTAAGATGCCCTGCATCCAGTCGGCCGGAATCATGCCGAGATGTTGATGGCTGGTTGGCCGTCGAAACTTGAAGAAGTTGTTCGAAGTGCTCAAACCAGCGTTTCAGCTGGTCAGTGGGGTCGGTAAGCAATTGTCTAGTCGTGTCCTTCACTGGCATCCTCGGGTTCATCCTTGCTCCACTCAGGCGTCGTGAGATATCGTAGAGGAGGCGTATATCGCCAGTGTTTGCGGCTTTCTCCCCTTCGTCGGCCAGGGAGTTCACCCACGCTCGCTTGTCCCGTCTGTAAGAGCGCTTGACTTTCTACAAATAATGGGTTGTTAAGAACCATTACACCATTAAAAATAGTTGTTTTCTCCATACATTTTTGGGAAAGGAATTATATTGGAACCATTTTATTTATGATTTGAGAACTTTAATGGTAATGGTTATGGTAGTCGTAAGGTTCATAGATTTTTTTAAATTCTTCCATACTAATTTTAAATCATTGGCACGACCTCTAAGCCTTCATCAATCTTTTCCAATTTTTGCACAGGTTCATATTTTGGGGTTATGAATTGGAACTGGAGGGTGGCCTATCAGAAATAAATATTTTTTCAAAATGAAGCACCCTAATGAACAACTTTGTCAAAGACGTCAAGTCTCCAGAATGTCAAAGTAAAATATTAGATTTTTGTGCCTTAAAATATATGGTATGTTAGATTTAAACATATGGAACCTGACATCCGATTGATGACCTTGAAAAATGTCCAGAAAATACTCTTTAAACAATTTATGGTGGTCCTGAAAAGAACCGTTTTGTCGTGATGGTTGAGTAATGCTGAGCTATTAGTCTATTAGCAAATATATTATATTAACAATATGATCCACTTTTTTGCTTAGCTGGCAAACTAAATTTTTAGCGATGAAAGCACCTCTGTGGCCAAAAAGGCTACCAATGTATTTGTTTATCGTCACGAGGGGTATACACAATGTAATTAATGAAAATAATGTGACTCTTACTTTTGTAATAAGTGCTATATTCGCACCCTCGATTGTAATTGTATGATTGTTGCTGACCTTTCTCAACGTTAGATGGTGCGTGAAGCAATATTTTGCGGGTCGCCATTGCAATATTTGGAAAAGGCATGAATGGATCATATTGTTAATATGACATATTTGCTATTAGGGTGTTCTCAACACAGATGAGGCTGGCGAGCTGTATTTTGTTTGGAACGAGGTTGACACGCTTGGCATAGATGGCCCACAGCGACTCACGAAGAGCTACTGAATCCGATCAGTAGCGGTGCGGATTTTTCCTCCTTCTTCGGTGAATGGACGCTCATGTGGGCTGCAGCTCACTGCTTGCAGGCAGGCTTTCGTTGTGTACTGGATTTTTTTAGATCTTTATTATAGAGATTTTTAGCCGAAGGCTAGTTCATCTCTCGTTGTGTACTGGAGACCAATGTTCAACGCCACGTGCAGAATGCACTGCTGCTGCTGACGACCGACTGGACCACCACACACGGTGATTGAATAAGCACCGTTTGGCGAGACAGGATGGAGTTCTGTTTTGAAATCTGTGTTAAAGAAAGCGCTTTTTGCAGGCAATCGATGATAATTTTGAGCACCATTGCAACAGTTGAACATTTGTGTGATTTTCAATTGTAGGGGAAATGACGGCTTCGGCATGACAGACTATTTTCGGCAACCCAAATTGAAACACTATTTTCACTGGATTTTCTTACGAAAACACTTCGCTGAATGCATGCAAACGATTCTTTATGCTTTCAGCTTCAATTTGACTATATTTTTACCACTGAGAAAAAGCAATCTAGCAAGGTTTTCTTGAAATGCAACACACGCACTACAAATTGTAGCTGATTTCGAGTTGCCGATAATAGAACAGCAGATTTACATGCAGTTCAAATGGAACGGTTGCCGAAGAAAAACTGGTTGCCGACAATACTCGCTCTCACTAGAGAAGATTGGAGCTTTGTAAATGCGTTTCAAAACAGTTTTTGGCAATTCTTTCGACTGAAATTGTTAGACCAGCTGGCAGCAAAAGATTGTAAACAAACCAATACTGCATATGTGTGCGTTCCTTAGAGAAAAAGGCTATAGAAAGAAGGTCGCTGCTTAGGTTGCCGAGAATACGTAAATTCCCCTATATAATATAGTTACAATATACATACAGTATACACAGAAAAAAAAAGTTGTTGAATATTACATCCAAACTGCTGCAACCAGGTCAATCCATCGGTTGTGTAATATAACGTTGTACGATGTACATCGATTTTGCGAACAAAATTATATCCATTGATATAATATTGTATCTGCTTTTTGCTGTTACATCATTATTTCATACATCAGCTTGAATTACATTGATCGATATTACATTTTTTTTTGCTGTGTACAATAATTGATAAAGTATTCATATTAGCAGATTTGTAGTAAAAGTTCCAATCGATTGGTTTGTTTAGAATCAAAATCCATCCGCTATTGAGAGAGTTATAAGTGGTCAAAACCTGACAACTTTGCGTAACGCGGTCGATTTGGATTTTTTTTTAAATTACATATTGGGTTGCAAGACGTAATTCTACACTTAAAATATGTTTGATTACATTCCACGACTCATCTAACTTCACGCTACTCGAATTACCGAAAACCGACGATTGTCAAACATTCGAACATACCAACTCAATATTTAGTCAGACTTCACGGAATCAGTAAACCCAAATCGAAGACAACTGTTGGACCTAAATAGTTATACAATACCAGCGATTATTGACAAGGTTAGTGTTAGTCAAAAGTGTGTACGAGTTCTCAGCCAGTAAAAAATCAAAAACCTGTGTCTGTGTGTCTTTCTCTAGAATAAATGAAAAACCAATCGCATCCAATTGAATGAGCTTTCGTTCTGGGATTTTTTTTTTGGAAATTTTATTCAAAAGCTTACTTTTTTGGTTCGTTTTTTTTTTCTCTGTAAAAAACACATTTGATCTAGCTTAAAAGAAAAGCACACTAACTGCGGCAACGATCTGGAACACAAAATACAAGTAGGAATAAGGTGGAACGAATATGGCTTATTATTTTGTATGAACTATTTATAAATGCAGTACTAGCAGGTATTCTGGACTTCTCAATGACGGTCGATGTACTCGCTCATTTGCTCTCTCTCTCTCGTTCACTCTATTAAAAATGCTTTCGCCAATTATTATTGCAACAAAGGAACACGACGAAATGCGACTTAAACAATTAACTATTTAACATTGGCTATAATAGGGACTTAAAGCATCTGGTTTTAGATTTTTTTTGTTTGTTTTTCGACAGACATTTTAACGTTGTGGAGTAAGGGAAGAGTTTAAAAGATTTTTTTTTTTGGTTAAGATAAAGTAGTACTAGAGTACGAGCGAGTTTTTTTTTGTAAATGCACGCACACATTCTTTTCTTATAGCATTGGATGGGGTGTATGTGTGCATGCCAGAGAGAAGTGGTTCTGTGTTTGTAGTACTAGATTAGTCATATATTAAAATTAGAGTTTTGCCCGTTGTTTCCTAAAAGTGTACGAAGAAAAGAAGAACAAATATAAAACAAATAAACGATGGATGTTGGTTGGATTTTGATTGGATACATAATAATGAGTAACATAAATTTGGTAGGAAAAAGCTACACCTACTAAAGCAAACCTAGGTAATCCAGTATGGGGTCAGCTACAACATGAATGGTGGTGCACTACAGTAAACGGAAGTTGTTGCTCTGTGTGTATGTGTGGAAAAAAACCAAATTCGATACCAAATACGACTACACATGCAGGTGATACACGGATTTTGCAAAGTGCTAAAGCAAGCCTTCTTCAGTCACGGCACAGACAGAGGGATCTTCAAAACTTCATCAAGTGTTTGCCTTCGAAGCTGCAAAAAGTGAAGTGACGATTCGGGTTTTAGTCAAGATTTACATTCAGAAACAGTGTGTATCTGTTAGAGCGAGATTGTGGCTGTTAGGTACAGAGAAGGAAGGTTTTTAGGATAAGAAATATATTAAAGAAATCTCGGATTAGTTTTCGTGTAAAATTTGGAATTTTTATTTTTTGTACTTTGCTACTCGTTGTAGGATTAAGCCAATGGGTTAGATTCGACAGTTGCTACAAGATTTATTTTTTTTTGACTCATAATTCTGTTCAGCTTTGCTCCCCGCGTTCGGTCAAATGCGCAAAAAGGTCTTTCATGTACATTATTAAAAATTAAAACACCAATTCTGAACGTTAATCACTGTTTCTCTATTGCACTATGGTTTACTTCATTTACGTCTAATAAGATAACAAACAAAAACATACAACAATCATATAAATACATAAAATCTTCCTTCTTTTGGATTCGAAAACTATTCGTTAGCAAATGGCAAGATCTACGAAAATGTACAGCTTTTAATAAAATACAATATTGTACGCGAGCAGTTTGTAGCTGTGTAAGTAGCTGTTGGTGTGATGCTGATCGCTTCCATGACACACTCAAATTTGACTATTATATAGACTTTGAATGCGAATAACAGAATATAAATAATACACGTGACTTTATAGTAAGTTAGCACTAAATTCGTTGAACGAAAAAGCTTTTTCCTATCAATGTTACACTTCCGGTAACAGTACAATTGCAAGTATTTTGTTTTTAGTCACGCGACTCAATGTTTGTACTCGTGTGTTGTAGTTGTTCTTGTTTTAGGGTGATTTTGCGATAACAAACTTTCGAAATGTAACAAACAGAAATTAGGAGCCAAACAATGCGAATAAATGTAGAAGACTTTTCGGAAGAATAAAAAAAAAGCATATTGGTTTAGGCTTGACTTACATGTGCTCCGGGTGGTTGCGTAAGCAATCCAGGAAGCCCTGGGGTTTGATTTGAGCGGTACAGATCTTGTGGATCGCCGTGAACAGGGGGAATCTGCAAAACAGGAATGGATTAATAAGGACCGGAAAAGCTATTTCTGTAAAATAAATGAAAACGGCGTATTGTAGTGGCGTTTGAACACTCTCGATACATGGAGAGATCTGAAGAGTAATTTACTAAGGATTTACTTGAGAAAGGGCTATTTTCCGCCACACAGATCCAAGTCAGACTGTTCTAGATTATATACCAGCTCTCAACTTAGTGTTCTTTAAAACGCTACTACATGTATACCAATCAATGTACAGGAATCCCGCGAATAGTGCGGCGGGTGGTGCAGAGTTCACCCACCGCTATTTTTTGACTGTCCTCCAACCAATTTATTTGTTGGTTGACATTAATCACATACAAAAAATCAGCTCAATTAGTTGGAGGACTTTCGAGAAATAGTGGTGGGTGGACTGCACCAGCCACCGCGCTTTTCGGGGGATTTCTGTACGTATGAATTTGTATATTGTCTGGCAAGCACAAAGTTACTTTATGCCAAGGGAAGTCGAGAAAATTTCCAACCGGAAAGATTTTCAAAACCAGTCCGCGTCTTCTTAATTGACTAGGCAAAATATTAAAAAAAAGGAAATATTCTGGAAAATGGTACCGTAAAACGGGGTGAAGTTGATCACTACACCTGGATTCGTCGACAATCTGTTTTCATGATATTGTTATAGGATAATTTATGCAAGATTTCATCAAGTAGAATAAATTGTACTTTTGAAACGTTTCCACTTACAAACGATTCATTCATGTTTGCATTTTTAATCTACTTTTAATTCTAAAAAATAAACAAAGCATGAAGGTTCAAAACTAAATTCATGCATTGGAAAAGCAGTTGCTGGTACATATTTGGGAGGTATTTGTTTGTGTGCCAAACATATGATTGAAAAAATAAATCGTTTTACGGTAAATTCCGGAAGATGATTTTCCGCGAAATAGAACTTTCTGGGAAATCTTGTGTTACAACATATTGGGCCATATGAATAAAAAGAGTTTACTTTACTTTCCCGTGCTTTTCTTACAGGCAAAGTAAAGTAAACGCTTTTATTCATACGACCTATTATCTTGCAGGAAAGGGGATACCACCGTCTATTCAATATCGAGTTAAGGAAGGTTGTATAATAAAAGGTCGACACACAAAAGGTCGAATGAAATTGAAATGTGAAAAGGACAAAAGGCCGTAAGGTCGAATGGACAACACGTCACATAAAGGTCGAAATGGACAAAAGGCGTTCAGTGTTTAGTGGTTCAAAAATCAGAAGAGTTAAACGTCGGTAAAACGGCGCCGGTGGGGTAGTGGTAAGCGATTACCTCAGCAGGCCTGAGTTGAATCCCAGTCTGCGCCGCCGGGATGCTCTGAGGCATAACATCTACTTCTAACCCTTCGGAAGGGAAGTAAAGCCGTTGGTCCCCGGTTCATGAGTTCATGGGTCGATAGGTAGGGTCCAGATGTGGAAGCGGATGCCCCTGCAGGAACCTGTAGCAGGAGACAATTGCATTTTAACACCAAACAAGCCGTGCGACAGATCATTATTCATATATTCATAATAGGCTTTTCATAAACTTTAAATGGATCAATGACCACATTGACCGCTCTTGGAGCCACGCGATACCTCCGGGGAAACATGTAGTAGGGACAATTGCGTTTTTACACCAAAACATGACCACATTGACCGCTCTTGGAGCCACGGTCACACCATTAAGAAAGAGTTGTCGCACGGTATGGTTTGGTGTAAAAACGCATTTGTCCCCAATACATGTTTTTTCGAGGGCATCCCGTGGTTCTGAGAGTGACCAATGGGGTGAGAGATAATCACGCTTACCACTACACCACCGGCACCGCTGTTATATATTTTCCTTAGAATATTCCCTTCTTTATCGTATATCCAAAGAATTAATTATTTCCTTTTCTTATATTTTCAAAGAAGGGAAAACCCCTTGATTCATTAAGAAGTTTTTCTCTTCTTTTTTTGTACGCGAAAGAAGATTCCAGGAGTGACTATATAATAAACAAAAATAGTCAATCTAATACCTGGCATGCTTTTCTGGGGAATGGTACATTCTGGGGAATGTTATAGAATCGTCGCAGAGCACTAAAATTCACATGCAACTTTCGTAGTTTGTACTTTGTACTCTGAAATATCTAGATGTTATATCTAGAACTCCTTCTAAATTATTTTAGGTATTTTCAGCAACATTTCTTGATAAATCTTCAAAGACTTATGAAAATCTAGCACATATGGTCTAGTTTTCAAGGTTCAGAATCTATTTTTTTTTGGAAAAAAGAATTACTGATATTTTTTCCAATTTGTCATCGCAATTCACATGCTTTTCCCAGTTTCCTGGTGTAATGTTCATTTTTTGACAGATATGCGTACACGGGAAAAAATCCGTTCCGAAATTCGTCATCGTCAAGTCACGATTTTCATAACAAGTCAAACGAAACTTGGCACCTCATCCCCACAGGCAAAAATTGTTGTTCCAGGACGGATCGAGTGTAGTTACACGGACATTCTAATGACTATCCTATATATGGGTTCGACCCAAGTGCAATCCGCTAAAAACAACAATGATCCGACTGGGTTCCGACGTCCACCTCTGCCAAGAAAAGGATAGGATCGGAAGGCTGCTGACTGAGATCCTGTAGGAGAATGCCAAATCTTTTCAGGTATGTTACTGGGGTTTTCTTTTTGGTGTGTTAAAGAAAGGTATATCCAGTGGCGTCGCGTAACCTCACTTTTTACCTGTTCAACAACTTTGAAAACGTTATTTAGGGTCATGTTTACATTCCAATCAGTTTCAAAGGGCATGGGGTCTTCTAGTTTCAATTATTTGTACCCATTGGAACCAATATTATTTTGTTCGTTTACGTTTTGGGAGTTGTTGAACAGGTAGATTGAGGTTATAGCGACGCCACTGGGTATATCTTATTAATTTCAGCAAAAAGAAGCTGCCCCATCCATGCTGTCGTTAATTCCTGATAGTTTCGATGATTTACAAAGTGTGGGAGTGTAAAAGATAACAACAGCATTCTCCAAGGAGGGTTTCGGTGCAGCGTTGAAGATGAACAAGGCGCAGCGGGAAATGGAGGAAACTATAAGTATATGCTGATTGATTAGCTCACTGCAGATACAGATTAACCCGATTGTTTGAAATGCTGATAGCTGGCAAGTAGAGATAGCCCGAAAAGGAAAACAGGACATAGCAACAATCACAACCCCAGTCCGATACGAAACAACCTGGTGGTAAGTCTGGCCAGTCAAGCCAGCTGGAGCTCGGAATCGATCGCAACGGCCACGAAATAAAATGCAACCCTCGACGCAACCACAACCCAATCGATGATTGCTAAATGCCCGGTGAGATGATCACGATGGTGATGATAATTACAAGTACAATTATTGTAAGGAAAAATTCAAAATAAATAGCTTTCAATGTTTCTTCATACTTCGTTTCTCTATCCATTTAAAATGAAAATAAAATTCTAGTTCTAACAGCAGCCTGAATACAAGCAAACCAAGTTTTAACTAAGATTTTATAATTGCAGAATATACATTATGACGTATAATCTATGTTTATACTAAGTGTGTATTCTCTGTCTATATTCCAAGCTATGCGTCGGTCAGGAGAGTTGTGATTTAGTGTAACTTTTAATCTATTTAGATTTGAAAATCTTTTGAGTGTATGGTCCGAACTAGCGGAAAGCATACCCACCGCCTCTGGGGCAATCTTCAAAGTTTTCTCGACAACTGGTGCCGCTTTGTCGCTTTGGAACAGAACGTTCACTGGTTCACCCTTTCCTTCGAGGATTTTGGCTAGCTTGATGAACTCCACCACCATTCTGACTGGCGAACTCAGCTGAATGCACTAATAAGCAATACACTATTCTCGACGAATCCGAGCACTCAGTTTGGATAAGTTTGACAACAACCTGAAGATGACAGCTGCAGCTTTGCATGTGATCCAAGTTCACGTTTGCAGGAACGCAAATCACAATTAAGGGTTCGTGGTATCACAAAATCATGATTTTATTTTGCATTTTCGTTATTAGCGTTACGAAATCGCTAGTCGCACTGAACAGGCGTGAAATAAGTTCACAGATTTGAGATTAAATTCATGAAAATTCGATTTACTCGATCACGCTTATGGAAACTAAGCCATGTATTCGAAATGACTTATAGTTCAGCTTATCGTATTTTTTTATTTACTAATATCAGAACGTTTTTTTGCCTGTATTTTCTCATAACGACTGTAGACTTTTTCTCAATGCTAAGTACAAAGTGGTGAATTCAAGTATTTTGAAATTGTTTTTCAATTCCTTTACAATATATACTGCCATGTGCTGCATAACAGTCCCATTAGCATTTTTTGACGAAAATGAGTTATACATTGTAATCGTTGACAATCCATGACCATCACTTACAATGTACACGAAAAGTTTCTTACTTTGTTCAGAAAATGTCGCGACAAATACCAAAACTATGTTGTCTCATCCATAAAAGCCCATGGAGAAAAAATCTTCAAAAGCGTTTTTCTCAGCTTGCTGTTTTAACGAATAGGGCAACTATGATGAAAAGGGCAGTATATTGGTTGAGAAAAAGTGACTTTAGTTACTTTTTTTTTGGAAAATAGTGACTTTTTGTGTAAAAAGTGACTGTCTTTAAAATAGTGAAAATAACTTGCTACCAGCAGCCCTGGCTAACCTAACCTATCATGCGACATCAGAATTGAAGAACATCATCATTGGCGGTCAAATTGAGTACCTGGATACACATAGGGTACACCCGGTCATAATATTTAGTATTGCGGCTATCAACATTCGTAAAAAAGGTGGGAATAGAAACAGAATTTGAATGAAAACGAATGCAGAATCCATGTATCCGTCGGGTGATGCTTATCGAGCCAACGTAATGCTAGTTTGCAATGACTTGTATATGATCAATATACTGCCCTTATGAGCATAGTTGTCCCATTTGTTAAAACAGAAATCTGAAGAAAACGCTGTTGAATATTTTGTTTTCTCTATGAGCTGTTATGGATTGGACAACATAGTTTTGGTATTTCTCGTATATAGTAAAGTGATGGTTCTTGACAATCGTATAACTCATTTTCGTTAAAAATAGGACTGTTATGGGAGCGGCATTCCACCTAACTAATCCAGTGGATATTGCGTATTTGGCAGAATGCAACATTATTGATCATTTTGCATCTATTTTACAGCAAACTACGTACACCCCACAGACCGCCACAGTTAACCCGATTATTGTGCTAATTGATCCTGGACTTACTTGTCTTCCATGCCTTTGTTCTTCAGCATGAAGTTGACCTCCTCGGCAGTGATCGGACCCTGTAGCTTCTGACCGTTTAGCATCTCGTCTTCGAGCTGCTTGATCGACTTTCCGGTTTTCACGTACGCTTCCGATACCTTACGGTTGCGACCACCTGCAACATATCAGTTTTTAACGATTAAAATACATTTTTATCCCCAGATCACAAATCAACCTACCGTAGCACGTGGTGATCAGATCCGCTACACCGCAGCTCTCAAAGAACGTCGACAGCTTGCTGCCCGGATAGAACACATCGACAAACTTGATCATCTCCATCAGTCCTAACCGGATGACGGCGGCCTTGGTGTTGTCGCCCAGTCCCATGCCGTCCACAAATCCGGCACCGCATGCAACGATGTTCTTCAGCGCACCGCAAATCTCCACCGCGTCGACATCGTCCACCACGACGACTCGGAAGTTGGGCGTCTGGAACAGATCCCGCAGCGTTTGGGCCATCTTCATGTCCCGGCAGCCGATGGTGGTTTCGCAGAACTTCTCCTCAGCAACCTCACCGGCCAGATTGGCACCCATCAGCACCGAGCAGGGAATCTTCAGGTGCTTGGTGATGATGTGCGAGATCAGCTCCATGCCACCGCCCTCGGCAACGTCGAAACCCTTGATCAACGATAGACCAACGGCCGTCGGCTTGATTTTGCCGAGCAGCTGAGTGCCCAGACCTCGGATGAACTGATGGGGCACGACAAAGATCAGGATGTCGGCATCCTTGGCGGCCTCCACGACATCCGGAACGGCAACCTGCGGGGGAACGGATAGAAAAATAACCGATTAACATCCGGTGGTTTTCTCATTGATAGCAGATTGTTTTAGGATTAACTTAAATAAATAAGGCAATCAATCACGATCACAACCAATCACGACGTGAACGCAACCAGTTGTTCGAAATATGAATCGTTAATGAGGATCCATCAATCTCGCTACCCTGTGACCTTAGTAGGTACGCCCCAGCATTTTCGCAGTAGTTGTTGTTTTCAAAAGCGATTCATGAGAAAAACGAATGCGATAAACCCAAACATTTCCCCTCGGTCTTACTGTTTGTAATTTCTGTGAACGAGGCAGAAAATAGACCCGATTGTTATGTAATCAATCAGCGCGCGTTCGTTGTCAGTATGTTACTTGAAGTGAGTGTATGGCATATCCATGTGTCACTGCACTTTAAACTTGCTGTTCTTAAAGTCAATGGCACCCAGCTAGAGTGAGTTGAACTTATCCCGACATTGATTACCATTGCAAATCGAGGTTCAAACGCGCGTGCAAAGCGGTGCGGGCGCTGATAAAGATAAGCACCTTGAAATCCCTTCTACATATAATCAACTGTTGTGGTTGTTTGTTATTCAGTGATATATGCACGTAAGCTCACTGATAGGAGTCATGCACCATCTGCAATAAATAATTACGAAATAGTGCTCATTTTCGTGTCCAATTGCTCGTCATTATCAACGAATGGAAGTGTTCGTAAATGACGTCACTAGAAGCGACTTGAGTGCGGTTAGTTTGCAAAAGTAAACGACACCTGAGCCGCGTTAAAATAATAAACATCAAGTGTATATTCTGTTTGTGTTTACATTTCTCTACTCACTACTTTAGTTACGCTAACGTGCAGAGGTAGTAGATTCTTTCAATAGGCAAAAAGTTGAATATTAGGCATCGTTCTTGTCGTGGGTGATCACGTAATGTGATGATGGATTTATTTTTTACCAGATCGCATTCAACTTTGAAGTAGGTAATTGAACATTGTGGAAGACCGCAATAAGTACTTAATTGGATGGATACACAAAACGCCCTATCCAATACGTCATTGCACAAATTGCAGTGACAGCGCAATTATTCGCTTGTTGTTATTGTAGTACAAGCTCGTATCGAGGTGGTTATCTCCCCGTTCCAGCAGTGCAATATGGGTGTGTGCAGACAGAGACTGCATCTCGTACGCCGTCGCTTTGAGTTAATGAGACAAATCGTGTATTACGTCTTCCGTTACTAACTATTAAATTTAAGGATAACCTTGAAACCCTGGCTGGTTCCGCATGCCGTGTTCCGTGTACTGCAAGAGTATGTGAGTAAGTTTTAAAACATATTTTTTAAGCATATCAAATCCGTAAGTACTGTAATGACAGAGGCATAAGCAATGGAGTTATATAGTGTTGTATTCAATAATAAAAAGTTAAATTGCTTAGGGAAGATCCATAACTGACGTAGCATTTTAGGGTGACCAGTTATGTAGAAAAATATGCTACTTGGGCACCTTCCCGCTTGTAGTGTATTTTTCTAAATGGCTGGTCAATCTAAAATTCTACGTCATTTATGCATCTTCCATTACAGACAATCTCTTTTATCTAGTTCGTTTATTTGGAATGCTCAATTACGTTAGCTTTACGGAGCCGATAATTCATTGTGCATTGTTTTTAACAAAAATCACTTATTACTATGTCTAATAGGAGTTGGGCCGAATATTCGCAGCTTACCCGAGGTTAGAGGGGGTACATATAATCTTTAACACTGTTTTGAATTAGAGGTTATTGTAAATTATAAATGAGTTCATGACGAGCAGAAACCGTTGGAATTCAAGCAATGTTTCACAATTTGAAAAATTACTTTACTTTCATGAATTATCAACAGTTGTTCACTGCCCATAATCGCATCTTTGCTTGATTTCCTACCCATATGCTGCCGTTCTTCGCATGACGGTCCCATTTTTGTCAAACCTGGGTATTTCAATGCAAATAGTGGTTGCAAATTACTCATATTTTCTGGATGAACTCAACAACTTTGTTCTGAAAAAGTTTGGATAGACAGTCAGATTGGTTGTCCCATCACATAAGAAGCAATTGTACGAAGCAAACTTAAAACGCGATTTTCTCGGCTTGCTGATTTTCGCTGTGGGACGGACATGCGAAGAGCGCTGTGTAGAACTGATATGCAATTATGAGTAGTTCAGCTACACAACATAATTGTTATTGCAATTGTAATTTTTCTGAAATACAACCACAGACAAATAGACATAACACTCGCAAGTTGTTCATCGAACAAGCATTTAACGGTCAATTTAAAAATATCCTAGTTGGTAGTACCGTCACCTGTGGCGCGCATAGTCAATTCCTTTGCGTATGACGTTTACACACTACCACCATTTGTTCAGCGTACTACCCACCACAGTGTACTCAACAGATTGCGGTAATGTTTTAGCGACCGAAGGAGGCGACTCTATCTAAGATGCTGGAATTTTTTTGCTTTGCTGTTGTGTGATGCGTGCGCGCTTAATAGATAGAGAGAAGATTCATGAGGATTTTGAAGATTTCCTGCAAAAAGGTGGAGAGCGATGTGAGTAGATGAATTTACATGCAAAAGATGAAAAAAGATTTTTTGTAGATTTAATCGCTAGCGTGAGATTTTTCGACCATATATAATTGGGATTTACAGTGAGAAACATTCAATGTGTTATGCCTGTTTGTCTGTGCTACAACCGATATTATCCTTGGACTAAATCACGATCAAGAATGTCCGGCTTCATTGCTGTATTATTTTTGTTTATTAATTTATTTGATAAGGCTCAATCGAATTTAATTTACAGAGCCGAGGATTATTATTCACTATAACATCGTAAAACTATATTCAAAAGGTACAACACAATAAACACTTTGTCTTACGCTGTCCAATAAGCTTCCTCCATCAGAACGGGATCCACTTCCAGTGGTTTCATTGTATGGCAGTATCGCCAACGAGGGGCAGAGTGCTTCCATTGCAGCAATGGACGCAAAACGTGGTCATCACTCACACACTCATCACGAAATGGTTGCTTTCCAAAGTCGACGTCACATCGACCGAAAAAACTGCTGACGAAGAACAATGAGGAGGACCACACAACCCAAGTAACATTTCAGGTTTTATCGAGGTTTTATAGCATTCTACAAGTCTAAATCATGGTCTACAGAACCCTCATAAAACCAAAATTGTTACTTGGGAATGGACGAGTGCACCGATGGATTTGAGTTCACTCACTCGAGAAAAAGTGACACAAGCAGCGGGCAATGTTTACTAATCATGAACACTAAATGTTCATGAATAATGAATAATGAACATTTAGTGTTCATGATTAGTAAACATTGCCCGCAGCTTGTGTCACTTTTTCTCGAGTGAGTGAACTCAAATTCATCGGTGCACTCGTCAATATTTGCTGCCGAGTAAGCAGACGATCGCGTGACACACATCGAAAGTGGTCTGCTTCTGTCGACAGCTAAGTGAACACTGATTCATTGCTGTCGACGACAGAGTTAATCAACACGTCGCTAAGCAAGAATTTTGCAGATCATCCAAACAGGTTCAATATTAAAAGTTAATCCGAGTTGGAGCTTAGAGTTCATCTCAAAATTTCATAGGACATTTTCTCTGAATATTATTTAATAATAATAATATTCGCCCTTGGTGTTATCTCTAGGACCAATTCTAAAATCTGCTCAAAATTGCTTTGGATTTTGTTTTCTAAAATTCTCTTAATAGTTCTTCAAAGTGACTGGATCCTAAAAATTTAGCAGACTCCAAGGTTCTTGAAATTTCGTTAAGGTCACCCCTGCTTATGGTTCCTTGAAATTCCTTAACTGATGAAGTTTTCAGAACTACTTTAATATTTTCAAGCTTATCTGAAGGTTACTTGAATTTTGTTACAATTATCTGAACAAATCTATAGTACCCTGAACTTTTCTAAGGTTCTCTAAACTGGAAAATTTACGACTTTCTCTGAGGTTCCCCCTAAGCTTAATAATGATTTTCAAAGTATTATCAAGATACCCAAAACATTTTATACTCACTTTTTTGAAGAAACCTAAACTTCTCTGTGATTGATGACCATCTCTAAACTTTTCATTAGCTTCCCTGAGGTTCCCTGAATCGTCTTGGAAGAGTCTTCCTGAAATTCCTAAGCATCTCTGAAGTTCTCCCAAACATCATAGACGGGATCAGTGGCGTCGCCCTAACCTCAATCTACCTGTTCAACAACTCTCAAAACGTAAACAAACAAAACAATATTGGTTCAAATGGATACAAATAAGTCAAACTAGAGGACTCTGTATTGTTTAAAATTGATTTGAATGTAAACATGACCCTAAATAACGTTTTCAAAGTTGTTGAACAGGTAAAAAGTGAAGTTACGCGACGCCACTGGACGGGATGACTGAATTCTTTTGAGCATGAGCATGATTGACCGCCCACGGTTGCTACTCTGTTATTGCCAGACCAGCTGTAATTACACAGAGAACCAATAGACGATGCGTGGGACTAGCAATAATCCTCAATGTGTAAAAACTGGTGATCTCAAACTAGGCACCTCTGCACTTCCACGAGGAATCACTGCGATATTGGGTAATAGGGTTGGGTTTGCAGCAGGGTTCGTTTTGGTAAACGATAAGCTGAATTGATGTCCTAACAATCATATAACGCGAAGGAGCTTGGGATTGAACCCACGGTCTTCTGCTCAGTAAGCAAAAAGCGTTTGCCACTAGGCAGACGAGCTCCTTTTTAATCATCGAGTTGCTGTTATTACCATGTAGTCATGTTAACAAATAAAACGATTGACGAATCTTGAATGTGGATGGGCTTGAGATTAGACTCATGATGTTCTGCTCAGTAAGCAAAACCGGTTGTTCTAAGGCCACCGAGCCCCTCACATTATAGCGTTACTCAAGTTTTTTATAACTATTCAAACCCGGCACCGACGACAACGAAAAGTTTTACAAAATACACGATAA